TGACAACCGGAACGGTTTGTAAAGAGGGGTCGAAATGGTTTTGTGTTTAGGGAGTAAGGAGATTAAAAGATAGAGAATTGCACAACGATTTATAGTGGTTCGACTTTCTCAACCAAAGTCTACATCCACTACCTTAGCTCCTCACCAAGGATTTTCCAACAAATTCACTAATTTGTTCTTTCTTTTGAGGATAAAGAGTAACCTTACAAACTCCCTAGTTTTTCCGGGTTAAACTAGAACCTTTCCCTAGCTTTTACACGGGATTAGCTAGAAGCTTTTCCCTTTACAAAAGGATAAGAAATGTAAACAAGAAAACCTCTCTAAGGTAGGTGTTTACAAGATTGAGCTCACAAGAACAAAATATATACAAGAGAAAGATGAAATAAGAATGAAAAACTCTTCTCTTGTGTTTGATTGCTTGGATAGTTGTTCTCTTGTTTCTTCAAGTGTCCTTAGCTTGTATTTATAGCTTGGAATGTGTTTGAAGTCATATCTAGCCGTTGGGGAAGTTTTGGAGCTGTTTGGGAATGATTTTTCTGCAAAAATAGGTTGTCCAGAATGGGGGGAATCAGTACCCCTTCATAGGGAATCGATACCCCTTCATAATATTCAAATATTATGACCGTTGGACTGATGAATAGTGAGTGAATCGGTGCCCTCAATGGGGGAATCGGTTCCCTCCGAGTAATATGTTATTTCTCGGAGCCAAACCATGCATGGGGAATCTGTACCCGGGGAATCGATACCCCCTTGGGGGAATCTGTTCCCTCTGGGCAATCTAGTTTTTCTTGCTCAAATCCAATTTTAATGAACTTGAATTATTTTTGAAACCTTTTGAAAACTTTGAATAAATTCAATTCAAGTCCAAAAACATTTTGCCTTTAAATTTGTTATATCAAAACATATTTCAACAATAACCCCGACAATAACTCAAGAAATATTTTCTGATGTGGAAGATCAGTTAAAAACTACAGCCACAGAGCATACTCAGAATTTCAATAGACCTTAAAAACGTGGCTCTGATAACAATTGTAGAATCAAAATAGAGTAAAAACTCTAATTGATTGAGAAAAATAAAAACTCTTTAGAATAATCTCACAAAATTGTAAAAGGGAAGAACTCTTAAAAAAGCTTTCAAATGCTTATAATTAAGCTTTGATTGTTGGATGATAAAACTCAAATACATGTAGGGTATTTATAAGTTACAAGAAACAATCTAAACCGCTCATTAAAATAAGCACTAAATAATCTAAACCGTTGAAATTAAAACATGAGAAAAATACTTAATTTTCACCTAACTAAATTGATGTAAGCAATGACATCAAATTAATTTAGGTGTGAACTTATTTAGGCTAATATTGAATTTTCAACAATATATGTAGTCCAAGCCTTTGAAATAGGGGGTGTCCTACATATAGATACTAAAACATAATAGAAAATGTCAGTATCCCCTTAATTTCATGCTATGGAAAATCCAACACAAGTTCAAGCAACAATTTAAAGGAACAAATAAATCCAATTTCTTGTACTTTGAACTCCAACGTTTTATTATAAAATAAAATGATTTTGATTGGATGAAAATCATTAATTGATTAATGATCAATATTTTATATGACATATCCATATTTAATGTTATGTCAAAAAAAATATGACATATAACTCGAAAAGAAACTGCCAACGAAAAATCGATCCTAGGCCTAGGACATAAAAGGCTTAACACCTAACTATCAAATCAACTTAGTTACTTATTATATTTTGATCGATAAATATATTTATTCTAAATATATTGTAATTATAATTAATTGTATATATTTATAAAAATATATTAATTATGATATAAATAAATTATTTTATTGACACGCCCCCAAATTCTAATTTAAAATATATTTGATTTATTTAATTTATGAAAAATTTGTAACCGAAGGATTTTGAACCATAATTGAATGCATGATCAGCCATACTCCTACCATCTAAGTTATATCACTATTTACGATAAACTTAATTAAAATATCTCTTAAAGTTATCAGATTCGGGTTATAACACCCAAAAACCCATCTCCCCATTTCAGAATTTAAACCCCAAAATCCTCCAATTTCCCAAAACCTATCTTCAACTCGCCTCCACCAAATCCATCGCAGTCCAACTGTCGTTGAGCGCACCACCACCCTCTCCAACTCGCCATCGATCGACAACCAAAATCTGAGCCTCTTCGCTCCGAAAATCTACGTCGTTCAATGTGATTTTTATCGCTAGACTCAAAGGAAAAACCCAAATAGTCACCGTGATTTTTGTTGTTTTCTGGCATATTCGATGGTCGTCTCACCGATGCTCTCCATAGGTGAGTCAGATCAAAACTTGGTAAAGATTGTCGCTGATCCATTCGGTCACCGTGGGTAAGTCGTCGGTCACTTTTGGGTCATTTTAATCATGATTGTGGCTTGGATTGGATTTAATTCTTGTTGTTTGGTTGTATGGATGTCTTTGGAGTAATCGGGCCACCTGAACGACCCCCGACGCCACTGTATGCGTCGTCGATGTGCGTGGGGCTTCTGGATGACCTAAGAAGCTATAAATCTGGTATGGTCAGACCAAACTGGTCCAAACTTACTCGAACTGAGTCAACTCGATTGAGCCTATTGATTTTTCCAGTGTTGATTTTGACCAAAAAGTCAAATTCTTTAAAAAGTCATATTTTATGTATTTCTAGTTCTGAGTCCGAATCTGAAGTTTGTTTTGTCAAATTCGAACCTGAAAGCCTCTGAATTGACCGTCAAACCCGAACATGCATATATACTTAAGTATTTTATTTAAGAATAATGAAATTAAGGTTAACAACTGATCTAAGATATTGTTATTTGAAGGTACACGAGACTCTCCCTACCGTTCGACAACTTGACTAAATTCCTCTCGATCCGTTCGACCTCGTGAGCTAGTGATTTCTCGTATGATCTATAAACCTTAAGAATGTTCGAATTAAAATATTATTCCGATAATAACTCTGTTGCATTATGAATTAGGTTCGACCATTACTACAAAGCGTGGGGCGGCAGGTGCTCAGTAAACTTGTTGACTTATCCCTTTTTGCTAGGTGTGTTCCCTATGCGTCATATGATTGTTTTATCTGTTTTGGATTATGATTTACCGAAGTTATTAATTTATTGGTTGACTGTTTATGAACTATGGTTGTTTAATATATGTTGTACAGTTACTTGTTTTCACTGGAAAATAAGATTATGTCGATTTATGGATCATGGAACTTACTGCTTACTATGTGAAATGTTTTATTGAGATATTGTATTGGGTAGGATACTGGTGTATGAAGATTCAACTCTGATCAAGCTGATAATTTCTTACGGACCTAAGGTGACCCTTGGGTAGGCTCCGAGACCCCCAAGATGCTCTTTTAGGTTAACTCTTATACCCAATGAGTATAGGATAAGTCCTTATGGATGTTGTTATGGAGAAATGCATTTTGATGTACGAGTGGAGGGTAATTATGATTTTTAAAATTTAACTTCACTATGAATTTTATGATATTTTACTGAACTACTTCCTGATTATTTTACCTATTACGTTTTACTTGCACTATTGGAACATTGAACTCCCTAGCTCACTTCCCAAACTTTTTCCCTTCCAGATATTTTTTGGATAGTCACCCCGGACATGACAATTGGAGGATCGACACGTTTCGTATAATACATTTTGTTGTAATATTTTTTTCTTTCAAACTGGCTTCATTTTCGGTGACACATGCCTATATTTTAAAATACTTGTTTTACGACTTATTTGCTATTGATGTTAGATTTACTGTGATACTAATTATAACATATTTTATTTTACTCGATCACTTATGATTTTATATTTACTCGTTTGGATTTTATCGTTATTAACTATGTTTTTAAAGATGTTATTTATAATATGAATTTAAATTATCGAAGAATATTTTATAAAATTTTACTGTAATTCGCTAAATCTGATCGTAACACATAAGATGGGTCTAAGGGATTACATTTATATTTACAACATAAAATTTATATTAAATATATTAATTATAATATGATAGTCTTTCTTGTCAAAGTTATCGACTGTTGGAATCTCTTTTTACCATACCTGGAGCTCTTCATCTAACTTTATAAAACTAGATTTTAAATTATAATGGTTGACATGTTCATATATCCATTGTTTAAGGGTCTTGATTCAAATTCTCATCTTCATTCTGCCGGATACCGATCACCTATTTTCATTAAGAAGAGTTAAATTTGACTAGACTCGACTCGAAAAAAAATTAAATTTAAGTCGAGTTATAAAATATAACTCGAAATTTTTAGTAATTAGTGAATTGATTTTCAAGTTTGAGATGAGTATCTCGACTCTATATGATATATATATATATATATATATATATATCACAAATATATAAAAAACATATGTATTTATATAAATAGAAAACCATATGTTTAAATATAGAAAACCGTTTAAATGGAATATAATATTATAATATTATAAATATCTACGATTAAATTTAAATATAAACTCGAATAATTCGACTCGACTTGAATCAAATTTTATAAACTCAACTTAACTTAAAAAAAATTAAATCAAATTTGAATTATAAAATAAACTAGTAAACTCGAATAATTCAAAAAAGATAACTCAATTTGATTCAGCTGAACACTCACCCCTAATTCTCACTAAAATTTCATTCCTCTGTTTTATAGGAATAATTAAAAAGAAAATATGAGTGAAAAAAACTATAAAAATAACATTAATAAAATATTAATTAATATTTACCTAATAATTCAAAAACTGATAAAAAATATCATTTTTCACACAGTTAAAAAGGAAAAGGGTAGAGTGAATATCAATGTATAAAATTTAATTATTAGATTAAAAAAAATAAATTACAATGACTAAAATAAAAGTGAGAATAAAATTCAGTCATTAATTATATAATTTCCGCTTTAATTTAAGAGTCTTTCTTTTCTTATCCTTCAGAGTCTGTCTCGTCCATAATTTTATCTTCTATTCACATTGTTTTTTCTTGAAAGGTAATCTCTCATTATCTTCAATTTTGATTTATAAAATAAAATCTATAACTGTGTAGGAACAACAAGTATCTAAATCTGTAAGGAGTTTTTTTGTGATAAAAATATATGATCTTGTTAGATTCAATCTTTTCTCTAGTCGAAATCCAAATCTATATTTATGACTCGGTGCCATGTTTTTCAGGTTTATATTCGTTGATGAGGTGAAAAAGAGGGAGAGAGGGCCGGATTTGGGAGATCCGATCGTAGAAATTTGGTATTATTTGAAAGAACTCATTTGAGATAGTTTAATTGGTAAATTAATTAGAAAATGGAGTCGTCATCGAATCAACCGGAGTTCGATCACTTGTTCAAGTTGCTGATGATAGGAGATTCAGGAGTTGGAAAGAGCAGTCTTCTTTTAAGTTTCACTTCCGATTCCTTTGAGCAACTCTCTCCCACTATTGGTCAGTATTCATTTTTAACTGTACTCGTCAACTATCCTTCCTTTTTCGTCTCATAATTTACAGTGGCAGTGTCTTGATCGTGGAACATGAAGATATATAGGATCCCTTTTGGGTTTTTTTTTCCAGATTAAAAGGTGGATTAGCAACAAAAAAAATTGAAGAAATTTGAAAACATAACTTCCTTTTGGATAAGTGAAAATGTATGATTTTACTTTTGTTTGGATGCTTTTGTCACTGGCATTTTTTCTAGTTTTATCAATCAAAATCATGTAAACGGTTAAGAGTAAGACTAGAGCTTCCAAATGCTAGAATTTAATCACATTGGATCTCAAATGTTGGATGTGTGAAATGAATTATTTGACTATATGGTTATGAGAAATATGGTTTACATTTTCTGGGTTTTTTGTTCTTTGGATAATTTTATTTTGTCATCTGATAAAAGGAAAAGGAAATATTGATGATTGAAAAGTAAGACAATAGAATAGGAAAACAAATTTATTTTATCCGAAATCAAGTATATCTCAGTGATCTTAAAAGGTGTCTTGGTTGAACTATTCAATTTCTGTAAGCCTTCAATGCGTTCACAATAAACTGATCACGAGAATCATTAATCTGCTTACCTATCTTTATTTTCCGATTTAGAATCCACTTATTTTCTTGTGTAGGTGTTGATTTTAAAGTGAAATATGTAAATGCTGGGGATAAAAGGCTAAAGCTTGCAATTTGGGATACAGGTAATACCTACAGTTTGCGAATGTATTATTTCTGTTTTCTCTTGGATTTTAATATTCATGTTTGATGGAAATGGGTTTTAAATGATTGCTGCATTCTCTACTTTTGTGTTATATAAGTTGAATTTGCATATATTATTGGTTTTTCTTGTCTTTCATAAATTAAATCCTGGTAGACAGTTGTCGTGTTATGGTGGCATCATATAGGATGATGTTTCGTCTACTTTGCTTTGTCTCCCTGTTAATTTATCATCTGCAACATTATCAATTTTTTGTTGAGTATCTCTAGAAGGGATCCATTTTTATTTCTCTAACCACAGTTCTGTCTCACCTATGTTTGATGAGTGCAAAGGCTTTATTAGAAGAGTTTTGTTTGGGGGGGGTGAGAAGAGGTGTTGCTAAATGGTCATTTGGTTCTGACAAGCAGCTTATTCAAATAAAATATTAACCTGAATGTAGCCTCAAGAGTTTTGAGTATACTTGAGCACTGTTTTAACTATGCTTTTGCTACTTCCTTTTGTACTGACATTAAAAAATCATAGATGACTTCTGGTTAGGGTAATGCCGCTTGAAGTGGAGGTAGCTGTTTGCTATTCTTTCTTTAATTTTTTTTCTAGTCATTAAAATAAAAATAAAAAAAGAAGCAAAAAGAATAAAAGAACCGGAGACTAGGGCAATTGGTTATGCTACCCACATCGATATATTAACTTGATATAATTTGCATTGCTGTCAAATAAAGCTTTTCAATTGGTGGCACTCTTTTTTAATTTTGGACGAACAATTGGTATGCTTTTTGTAGCTGTTTCTAAGTGAATGAAAAAGCAGAAAGGCGCTGTATGCTCTCACATTTGGCATGGCATGATGAAGTTTTAAGAATCAACTTAATCTCGTCGTGCTCTGGGATAGAAAACTGCATATATGGAACGAGCTTTATGGTTACTTTAAAAATGATGTTTCAATGGTCTGGACATTTGTTTTCCTCTAAAATCATTGAATTGAGATGCAAGCATGTACTTTGTGCAAATATTTGAGAATGATGCAAATTATGTGTTAATTGTTGTGTCATTCTCTACATCATTTAGTTTGGCTAGACTTGCTATTTAGATTACTCAACTTGGCCTTTAATGATTGGTCTTATTGCTATAAGAATCCTTATTGATTATATTTTATGATGTAAATCAGTTTTGCATGATAGAAAGTTGTTATTTTTATTGCTGAATATGCATGCAGCTGGTCAGGAAAGATTCAGAACATTGACAAGCTCTCACTAAAGAGGTGCACAAGTGGTCATTATGGGTAATTATTATCCTTGTTCTCTTGGGAAATTACTACTTTAATTTCTTATTTGAGTAGATTTTTTTTTAATTTGTGGAAGTGAAATAAACATTGTTTTGCCTCTAAGGTTGGTCGGTGTTGTTTAAAGTGGAAGCAAAAAATAGAACTAAGGTTGAAAACGAGTAAGATGGAACTTGGACCTCTTGAAATATGTAAGTTACATGAACCTCTAGTTTTGGAAGTAAATTAAAAAATGTGTTTCTGATCTATTTAATGGCTCCACAATTTGGTGCCTCTTTGGAACCATCACCCAACCTTGCGTCCCTCAAGATAACCTAAGTATTTCTAGCTTTCCTCCAATCCTCCCCTTCATATGAGGCTGTGGCTGTCATCCCTCTATGAACAAACAAAGACTCACCCTGAACTAGATACACATCAAATTCTTCACTTTTTTCTGCATACTCATCATAAATAGGGTCTGGCATATTATCCTTGTGCTCTTTCACATGCATCTTACCACGAAAATATACAACATCATTTCTAATTCCACCGTGTTAAATTTAAGGGCATGCACTGATTGCTCCAATCCATCTCCTATTGCACAGTTTGTGTGCCTTGTATCATGAAAGTGGTTTTCCTCCTTTCCATGATCAGATTCATCAGTAAGACTACATTTCAGTAAGAAAACTTGTAATCATAGCCATTAACTCCATATGCCTAATAAATAAAATAAAAAAACTGAAATAAGAAAATAGCATAATACTAGTAGCACCTATGACATGGGTAAAATCATGTTTATGTCAGCTTAAAAGGCAGTTTTTCCCCATCTTATGGTCTTGTTTGCTTTTTTTTATTTTCTGTAGCTACAATGTTTACATATTGCCTTGGCCTTGATTAAAGATTAGATGCTCTTTAATTCTAAGCTCTTTAAGTGTGCAGTAATGTGATATTCAGGTTTTATCATTTCTGGTCAATTTATGACTTAGTATGTATTTCTGCTCTTAACTTGTTTGGAAACTCACAGTATGATCTTTACAGTTTATGATGTAACACGGAGCGAGACATTTACTAATCTTTCTGAAGTCTGGGCCAAGGAAGTCGAACTCTACTCAACAAATCCAGACTGCATCAAGATATTTGTTGGAAACAAAGTTGATAAGGTAACTTTACTGAGATCTTTGAATTCTAATCTCCCCTTTTGACTTTATGACACTTTGGTCTTGGTTCCAAAAGAGATTTCCATTTAACATTTTGCTTTGTTTTCCCCCTTAGTCCTTAATAGTGCTGATCATTGTCTCTTGTTAGATACAGTTGCTTTTCCATGTGACACCTATGGAAAATCAAATTAAGCAATTTTGTTACATATTTGAGGCTTGGTGAGGAATGGGAATTGTTTGTTCTATAGCACTTTATCAACTGGCATACATTGAGGGAAATTTGGTCTGATAATCTAGTATTACTGCTTGGAATTTGAGTTTTTTTTTTTTTTTTTTTTTGAGATAAGAGTGCATACTTCAAAAACATCTTTTAAATTCGGGAATATTCCATTACCTATAGTAACACTATTCACTCCCATTGGGGGAATCTCATACCCTCATCACCCTTAGGTTATGTTTCATTACCTATAATGGCATTCGGGACTGTTTGTCCATTCTTCTCTTTAATGATGCAAACCCATGCCAGTGTAATCAAACCCAACCCAAAACCTAATTCGGTTACAATTTCATCCTTACTAGTCAAACCCTAACTGCTCCTCTTTCCTACCTCAAGTTTGCAAATCCTTGAGCCCCATCATTGTCAATGCACCCGTTGCTGAGGCTTCAGGGTATTTCTTCCTACACTCCCTTAGTGCCTCCCTTCTTTTCCGTTCCCATTTCTTTTCTACACTTTAGCATTTCATCGTAATGTTGCTCACCAATATAAGACAATGTCATATGCTATGTAATTTGTGTTTTTATGGTCAATTTTGGGTTTTGGATGTCAGATATTGGAATTACATTTGTGGCTTTTTTGGGGTTATGGATTTCCGTTTTTTGGTATGATGGTTGCAGCTTGTTTCTTTTGTCAGTTTGATTTAGTCAGGTTTTTGAATTTGGCACAATTAGGTTGGCTTTAGTTTGGGTCCTAGGGTGCTGTTCTTGCTTTTGTTGGTAGGGGCCTTTTCTTGATTTTAATTCGGTTGTTAGTTAGGTTTATGATGTTAGGTCTTTTATACTTCTCTCGTTAATCTTTTTCTTGCTTGATTCTTTGCATAATGACGTGGGTTGTTCACTGGGATTTGAGATCTTCAAACAAGAATCAATATACCAATTACTGCAAATACATGAAGAATGCGATCTGGATTTAGGTAGCCTGCTGGTTTGGTTGATTTCAGCTTATTCAAGAGCATTCCTTTATCAAAAAAACTAGTGCTGAGCTTTATGGGGTTTGAAGGGTTGAATGAAAATAGGACTTTGTCTTTTTGTTTAGCAAACGAGTATAAAACCTGGAGAGTGGTTAGGCATTAGGACGTAGAGGCCAGGATTAGAAATTATAGAACATTGTTGGTAAAGCTGGGCGTTGAACATCTTTGGAAATTTGCATCTTTATGCGAAACCCATCTTTTCCCCTATTATTCCTACCATAGATAAACTTGTGGAACATTTTTGAAGTTATAGTCAGACTAGTTTAATATGCTTGGTGGGTTTATGCTGCAATTAAGTTGAAAAGGGCATGGCTTGATTGTTTTGTATTCTATTTCGTTTTGGGGCAAGAAAATACTTCACGGTTAACACAGTCGAAGATTGTCTGTGTTGAAACTTCTTTGATTTGCATGTGGCTGTTTTTGCTTGGTTTCGAGTTCCAAATTTCATTACTATAGTTTCATAAATTCAAAGCAATCCAATCCACACCATGTGATTACAAGGATAAACGAAAGGGCATTCTTTTTTAGAGGCTGTGTTTGGGCATAGAAACTATATGAAATATTGATACTGTTATGCATACATATGTTGCTCGGACTCTTCATTTCCTTCAAGTACCCATGTCCAACACATGGATACAAGGACCCCCAAGGATTCCTCCAAACACGTGAAAAACTTGGAAAAAAAACTTACTATACTGGTCCAGATGCATACCGTTATCCGACACTGTGTTGTTGGATAACGAGATAACTTTATTTATTCAGATTTTATCCTTTTATTTAATTGGTATCACAAATTTGAGCCTTTGAAATTGGTTTATCATCAAATGTTTTCCAGGAAAGCGAGAGGGTTGTAACAAAGAAAGAGGGAATAAACTTTGCTAGAGAATGCGGTTGCCTTTTCATTGAATGCAGTGCTAAAACACGCGTTAACGTACAGCAGTGCTTCGACGAGCTTGTTATGAAGGTATTGAAATTAACTGCTTTTTTGTTCTGATATTTATGCCTTTCTCCACAATCCCTTGGTTCTAGAAATAAATTTTAGTGAGCCACAGGCTATTAGCGAAACTATGACAAAGATATTTTAAACCGGGATTTAAATTGCGGCTACGAATGTGTTCTCAACCGATTGTATTTATTGTAATTGTGAACGTAACGGTTTCCTCAGCCAAGGACTGATGATTATGGCATGGAACTTACATCTTTAACGATACGATGTTCTAATGATGCAGATTCTAGAAACTCCGAGCCTTTTGGCCGAGGGCTCCAAAGGTGTGACAGAAGCCGCCACAACCTTATGCGGCTGTGAGCGGTTGTTGCTGATAATCAAATCTCAAACCCAAGCCTGGTGGTTCTGACAATCATTTACTGTATGATTTTGCATTCCCATATGAAACTCGAATCTCCTGTAGTATTAGCGACAACCAGTTTATTTGTCAGAGTCGTATGTTGAAATTGTTGATTGTATGATCATTTGTGTTGGAGGTATTGAATTTAGGATTACATGGTTAATTATTGTTTATTTTTTCAGTTTGGTCACTCAATTCCATCATCGTTTCCTTTGTAAATATTCGAGTTAATTGCATAACATGTCCTTAATGTATGACACTCATTTCAAATTGGTCCTCAAACTTTTAAATGATCTAATTTCATCCTTAAACTATGCCTACTATTCTAAATTATTCTTCAAACTTTTGAACATTTTAATTTCATCCCAAATTATATGTATATATTAATCACATCCCTTGTTAATAAAATCGTTAGGTTAAGTTATATTATTATATGTTTGAAAAAATATTAGATTAACATATGGGTGAAAATAATTATATATTTGGATTAATTTGGGATGAAATTGAAATATTTAAAAGTTTGAGAATTAGTTTAGAAAGAGGGTCATAGTTTAGGGATGAAATTAGAATGTTAAAAAATTTAAGGATTAATTTAAAATGAGTCATAGGTTGGGGATAAAATTAAAATATTCAAAAAGTTTAAAGATTAATTTAGGATTTAAATTATAATTTGGGGATATATGATGCAATTAACTCTAAATATTCAGTTTTTTTTTTTTTTTTTAAATTGATCGTCTAGGTACTAATGGATTTCTGGGTTTGGCCATGTTTAGCGTTATAAACGTTGCCTTTATGAATGAAAAACCGGATTAGATTTACTGATTCTAATTGAATAAAATCAGAAAAATAGTGAGTGAAAAATAACTAAAATATTTTACCTTGTAATCTTTTATTCTTGATTTCCTGTAAAATAAAATTTTCCAATTTTATGATTGAATCTTAATTCGTGCGAGATTAATTAGAGCATGAAATTACAGGCACCCAAGTTCTGAAGTTAACAAAAAGTCCATAGATTAGGTGGTGTTAGCGCGAGTAAACTTCGACTCGAATTGATTCATTTTATATGATTGATTTTTAAAAATAAGTATATCAGTTTTTAAGTTTGAGTCAAGTCCTCAACTTCATATGATATATGTATATCACATAAAAAATATAAAAGAAATATACATATGTATTGTATATAGTTATCCAAAACAGTTTAATTTAAACTGAAATCAAATAATATCATAATATTATAAATATTTGTAATTAAATTTAAATAGAAACTCGAATAATTCAACTTAACTCAAAAAAATTTCAAATAAAATAAGATTCATCAACTTGAATAACTCGACTCGGTCGATCACTCACCCTACCCTAGGTGGTGTATGAGAAGGCAATTCCGTTGATGTTTCTCCTTGAATTTGGGCGAAAAGGAAACATGTTCAATTCAATTTGAGAGCAGAAAAGATGGACCATTCTCAGTTGAAGTTCAAATGATAACCCCCACCCCACCATTGACCTCCCAAAAAGGTGCACTTTTTTTTGGATTCTTTCCTTTTGGGGATGAATCAAAACTTAAAATGATTTTTTTCTACCAATATTTTTTTATTTCTATATAATATTTGAATAAATAATGAAAAATCAAATTTCATGTTTAATAAATTATACATAATCTTTTTATCACTCCATCAATAATTATTATTGATAATATTTTATAAAATATTTTTTTACATAATATTTTTTTCAAAAATGTTATAAATTTGACAAATTTTAGTATATAAACAAAAAATATTAAAATTATAAGTATATAAAAAATAAAAATAAAATTATATTTTTGGTACATAAAAGCTATTAAAAATGTGTTTACACCAAAAACTAAATTGCTGAAAATTTATTTAAACTATATATGTATTGATTATTAAAAATGTTAAAATTATTCGATAATAAAAAAATTGTTAGAATGTATATTTATATTAAAAAGTAAAAGAATTTTAAAAGTGGTTGGGTGAGTGGGATGAAATTCCCACCAAAATGCTTCTCAGAATTTTTATGGGGTCAAAGCAAACAATGCTCCTTTGGATTAACATGATGAAAATTAAATTTATAGATTGGAAGGACATAGTTCATTACTTTTTTTAATTGCTGACAAAGGTGAGTGTTTGATCGAGTCAAATTAAATCAAATTAAAGAATTTAAGTTAGCAAATTTTATTTTATAACTCGAATTTGACTTAAAAATTCTTAGTAACATCTTTACCGGTTTCAGGCTAATTTTATAGTGCTTCTAAATGTTATAAATTTATGGATGGATTTTAGATTATGATATTCAATTTAAATATAAGAAGGGTAGACTAACATTTAGTACCTAAAATATCGGTAAGAAGGGTAAACTACACATTTAGTACCTAAAGTATCGGTTTTATTTCGTTTAATACCTAAACTTTCATTTGTTTCAAAATCATATCTAATGTTTATTTTTTATTTTAGTACTCCGCAATTAAAAACTTAAGGGAACCGGTGCACATGGCATTTTTTATGGGTAAATTACATTATTCATCACTTAATTATCTCCTCACTCCTATTTGGTGACTAGAGTTTAAAATTTTTCAATTTAACTATTCAACTTTCAAATTGATAATGTTTTAATCACTCTAATTACTGTTTATTATTATTTTATTAATATATAATTAAAATTAAAAAAATTATATTTGAAAGTTAGAGTGATTAAATTAGGAGTAATTTGAAAGTTAAGTAATTAAATTAAAAAAATTAAACTTCAATGACCAAAATAGGAGTGAGAAGATATTTGAGTGATGAATGATGTAATTTACCCCTAAAAAGTGTCATGTTGTAACAGTTCTACTAAATTTTTAAGAGTGAGGTATCAAAACGAAACAAAAAATAAACTTTAGGTATGATTTTAAAACAAATGAAAGTTTACGTACTGAAATAAAACAAAACTTATAGATAGTTTACATACTAAACGTGTAGTTTGCCCTATAAAAAAGGAATACATAAACATATATCAGGATGTAAACTTAGAAAATTATATTAAAATTTTAAGAGATCTGAAATTATAAAATTTCAGAAGGCGCGAAATTAGACGATCAATAAAAAATATTTGAATTACATGAGAATTTAAAATTTTAAAGGGTGAGTCGTAACCCTCAAAGACATTTTTTTAAATTAGTCTAAGGTAATTATAATATAGTATTTGTCCATAAATTTCTTAACCATTTAATAATGAACATTAAAAAATTCCTAAAGATGTTGTGTGAACCTAAAATCTCTTGAGATAATAAGCATTCCTTTAACATGTATGATCAATTGATTCGTTCGAATATTTTGTTGTTTTGATTGAGAAAATAATACATCTCAACTCGAGTGTGACTATACTAATTTTTTTTATTAGTCTGTGATGATTAAAAGATAATATATATTAAAAAAATTCTCAATCATTTAATAATGAACGTTCAACAACCTCTGCAAATGTCATGTTCGAACCTGAAACTTTTAAAGATAACAACTACTCTTTTAATTACTGAAATTGATTGATTGATGCAACGTGAATATATTAATTTAGCTAAATTTGGTTTAAAATTGATACTATATTTTTTTGTACATAAACTAAGTGAAAGAGGGAAGTGAATCCATTAATCCTAAAAAAGGGATAATGTTATTGCTCATCGTCCCACTTGGACCTCAACAGTTTCAGCAATGTGGTCGCCTTGGTTTTTACACCACAGCTACACTGGCTTTGTAGCAGCAACAGCAACTGTGTCAAAACCCCAGCAGCTATGGCCTTTTCCCTCGCCTCCAACGATTCATAACACCATTATCAACGAGTTCAATGCACTCTCACTCCCTTCATGATCCGACACCCTGAATACCATCTTTACCGCCGCTTTAACACCTCCGGGATCCTTTATCAGTTCCTCTTTCCCCCTCTCCATCCCCAATACTTGTTCCATCGTCGCCATCGCCCTCGCCGCCGAGCTTCTTTCCTTCGTTTCCGAGTTCAAAATATATGTTACGAGGCCGTTGATTAGGCCTTGTTGGACCAATTCTTCCCTGTTTGATTCCAAGCGACACAATGCCGAAACGGCTTCGATTCCGGCCTCCGTCATCTCCGAATTATGAAGAATTAGACCAACGAGTCGATGTAAAAAACGGTGGTTTTTACCTATCATCGAGCAAAGTTCTCTGGTTTCCGAAGATGCCGATATTGCTCCGACGAATTGACACAAACTTTGCTTGATCATGGCGGTCCCGTTTTCAAACAAAACCACGAAAGATTCCATCATGGACTCTTCTTTAAGCATATTCAAAGACCCGAATTCGCCGAAAGACATCAACTTTAGAATACAAGAAAGCAATTTCTCCGAGAATCCAGGGTCTGAATTCCCGAGAAGCAATTGTACAACTAAAGGCAAGAGACCTATTTGAAGCAGAAGGGGAATTTTAGAGGGCGTTTCATCCATTGAAACTCTGATATTTTCCAGTATTTGGAGCTTCTCTAGTAAACTAGCTTGAGGAGATTCGAGGCAGCGTTTCATGTCGAGTAAAGGGTCGATGGTGGTCGAGTAATCCGGGTCGAATCGGTGACTCATTTGAAGCCATTGTTGAATCAAATGACGAAGATTATGATTGGGAACGAGAGATGGATCGTGGAGCTTTTGCATTGATACGGGACAGGTGAGATTACCGTAGGCGAACCATTTTTGGATGCTGGATCGGTCGTATGTTTGGCCTGTTGATAGAGTGACGGGATCGGAGAACAAATCCAGGCTGATTGGGCATCTAAATAAGTCGGGAATTGCCATTTGAGCTTCTTTCATGGAAGGGGAAAAAAACCAGAAATGGAACAATAATTTTGGAAAGAATGAAACGATGAAATTTGTTAAATTGAGAATCTTGAGAAAGCTGATTACTGGGGAAAATGGGAATTAAGAATTTGGAAGCAAATGTGTGAGCATTGGATTTATTTTTGCAGATGGAATGGTATTAAAAAGACAAATACCACAAAGAACTTTGAATCAAAATAAAATAGGGTACACAACCCATTTGGTCATCCGTTATCACTTTAGTTCTGTTTTGGTCACT